GCGAGAATATGAATTTAGTTTATAATTAACTAACATAGTGAGAAATTAAATTTGATACTATATCTTAGTACTAAACTTAGGAAAATGCTACGGTTCCGTAGGGGTTTGTAATCGTTGGATCATCATGTAACCGTCGGGGATAATTGATTTAACGGTTACGAAAAAAATCTCAACGAAATTGTTCCATAACGAGACCTAGCATCTCCCCTAAACTTATATCATAATAAATGTTGTGGCAAATTTATCAAGAATCACATAGGAAAAAATGAGGAATCATCACCACGACGAACATGGGATGTTTGAGGTCAATTCATATATTAACGTGATGCAATCTTTTTATTGAAAAGAAAAATCTGGAGTATAATAATTAAAATTTAAAATCTTAGAATTCCACATCATATATTATTTTTTAAAATATAATAATTGAAGAAATATTTTCTGTTGTAATTAGCTAATATTTACGGGGGGCTGCATTTGGAAATGAGTGTTGCTATCTTTTGTGGGTGCGGTATAATCGATTTGGGTGCGGTATTTAGAAATTCAGTTTGGGAATTGAGGGGGACAAGTGAGATTGGGGTCGGTGTCCTTTTACCCTGTGGCAGGGCACATGGATGCCAGGCTGACGTGGATTTGGGCTCTAATCATGTGGAGCATGGTCTACATAATTTTCGTTCGGAATAAAATTTTCGTTCGAGCTTGGTTTGTTTATTTATTCATTAAAGTTCGAATACAATTGCATTTGAATAAAATTTACTAAATAGGTTACAAAATTTGTTTGATTAATTTGAGTTCAGTTCGTTCGGAATTGAAAATAAAATATACATAATTTAAATTAAGATAAATACATATGTTGTTACTTTCTAATTTTCAATCAAAATATTACACATATTTATAGAAATAAATATACGTGTTAACTTGATTTCCACCATGCATGGTTGTCAAAATTAGACTGGATTGTCGGTCTGACTAGTTGAACTGGGAGTGGTTCAATTGTCCGTTCCGATTAATTGGAACGAATTGGTTGACAACGAATTACCGGCCAAAAATTGGTCGACGACAGTAGAACCAATCAAAATCGGCCAGTCGGTCAGGTTTGAACCGATCCAAATTTTTCTTAACAAAAATAATTTTAGTAGATTTATTTTTTAATAAAAAAATATATTTAAATATAATGGATATATATAAGTTGATTTTAATTAGTTTAAGTATTTCGAATGATTTGAATTCGCTAAAAAATTAATTATTATTTTTTTACATATAACATTTAAAATAAATTAGCCAACTGGCTAAATTCTCTCTCGATCTTCTTTGATTAAATTTAAAATATGTAATTAGAAACAAGGAAACTTCATAGTTCATTCCCATAGGGGAATGCCGACATGGACTCTCTACACCCGATGGTGATGTTGTTGCCGTTATTACAGTTGGGCCCAGGCCCATTAAATCATGTGAACTATTTTTTTTTTCAAATAAAATGGAAAAAAATGAGAGAAAAAAAAAAAAAGAAAAAAAAAAGAAAAATAAATAGTGGGGTCGAGCAAAGACTTGGAAAAACAACGACAGCCAAATGGTAAGTGGAGATGATAATTGTTGTAGACTACTTGGTTCAATATGCACCTAACGATGATAAATATTATTTATTTATTTATTTTTAAATATTTATTTTTTGGGTGATATTAATAATTATGTATGACCAAATTATTATTTTTTATTTTTATTTAGTGTACTAATAAGGCTTCACAGATTGACATGACCCCATTTGATTAAATTCATAAGCTCGTGACATGCTAGATATGTATCTATCTCCCTTGAGGCGTGCTCTTGGAAGGAATTGATACACGAATATATTTTTATTTTAATTTGTTTTTCTAATTTTTTATTAATTTTTTGATTTATTTGGGGTCTCGTCGTACCAAAGCAAGATGAACCTAGATGGACCTTAGTAGAGTTTCATCCTAAAACTAATTAGTGATAGTACGAGTAGCCCACTAGACTTATAAGGTATGTCTATTTTTCCTGTATAGACGATGTGAGACAACCCACAAGTCTATATTCTAACACGCCCTCCACTTGTATGTCCTTCATATGAGGCCGAATCCCAACTGGGATATGGGTGACAGGTACGCCATTGTCCGGTCCCACGTAAGCCCACGCCCAATTGAACTCGGTGAACCGGCTCTAACACCATGATCAATTATTTTTATTGGATTTATATCAAGTCACACCCTTAATGTTATTATTGTCTCTTATTATATTCCGAGGTGTAATATTAGAATGATTGAATACACATTAAGCACCACAAGTGCGTGCCTCATAAGTAACTTCAGCAGGTCCTTTTCAAATTTCATTTTTCAAGTGAAAATTACTTCGCTGACGCGTGCTGTGTGCTTTGATTTATCAATTTTAGGATAATTATATTTACATGATGAGAGAATCTATTTTTTTTTTTTTT